GTCATTGTTAAAAAAAATCATAAAAGGAATAAATGAGGAAAATATGTGTATGTGATTTGTTATTTTATTTAGGAAGACTTAGGAAACAAACTTTCAATTGCCACTCAATAAAACATTATGCTATTAGCCTCCATATTTGATGGATTCAAATGAAAGAGTAGAACATGTAGACTGGGAACTAGTGACGTGGCTGCATTGTCTATAATATCAAATCTTTGCTGCTCGTGTGTTAATGGTAACATTGATTTTTTTTAATATACTTTATTACTGTTTTTTTATTGTAGGCTGCCCAGAGCAGAATACAATATCATGATTTGTGAAATGGGCAGCTATATAACTATGATGAAAAAATGCTATCATTTCTTTTTATTACTTTAATTCAACCAACAGTTTCAAAGGAGGAAATAGGGGTACTAGACTCTTCAGATACTAAGGATGGAGAAAGAACTGAAAGATGGCATAATGGTATGTCCAAAGACTGAGATATGTTCACATATTGACCATCCTAACATCTTCAGTGATATGATATTTTTCATTTGTCTGTTAAGAGAACAGCATCCCTCGGTCACTTGTTTACACAGAGGTCACAAGTAATAGACAGAAAGTCTCCACCTTGGCAACCTTGTAGATAAATTGGATTTCTGTCACTTTTTATCTATTAAAAGAAACTTTGGCTGAATCTTGCTCTCTACTGAAGAACTTCACAATATTAGGAAGCCCAGAGAAGATGTGCTAGAGGAATACAATAAAAAAGTCTATGTGATAAATTACCTTATTAAAATCAATGGGAGCATAATTTATGCAAGCTCTGGGGCCATAACAGATTAGAAACCAAATATATGTAGTTGTGTATGCTTTGAATGCTGCTATTCTAACACTGCTAAGGATTATCTGCAGAACTATTTGCTTTGTTTTCCCTCATACCACTGAAGATGTCAGGATCTTGTTCTCTTTTGAAAGGATATTATATAAGGAGCATATGAATTGGGTATTCCTCCTTTAATCTTGTCTTCTCCCTTCCTTTCCCTCTCTCTCCCTTTCTGCTCTTGGAATGAGAAATGTTTATTTAATTGCTACTGGAATATCTTGGTGACCATAGAACTATAGCCTAAGTAATTAGGCTTTCCCTATTTATACAGCATATAGATGAGCATGACTGTATTCTAACCACCATGGTGGTGCAGTGGTTAGAATGCAGTATTGCAGGCAGACTCTGCCCACTGCCAGGAGTTCAATCCTCACCAGCTCAGGGTTGACTCAGCCTTCCATTCTTCTGAGGTCGGTAAAATGAGGACCCAGATTGTTGGGGGAAATCAAAAGTAATCAGAACTGTGAGGAAGGTAAAAGACAATTTTAAATGATAAAGCTACATATAGACATTTTGCCAAGGGCTTTGATACTTGATTACCGAAAAGGAAAGCAGGGATGTTCTTGTGGGGGAGATTCAAATTTCTGAAAATTGGAATTGTGATCACCTTTGGGTATACAGTGTATAATTTAATAAAACCTGAGATATGGCTTTAACTTCAATTTTTGAACACATAAATACAGTTTACATTATGGGAGGATAACATGTCTTCCAGTTGTTAATTGGTAATATTTTTATTTATTTGAAAGACATGGTGCCTAATTTAAATATTCAAATATTGAGAAATATATCTCAATTTATTAGACTCTGAATGCAGTGGACTAATTCTTCCTCACTATTTTATGCATGTACATATTGAGTTAAATACATAAAATCCAACTCCTATATTACATATGTGTAAAATGTCAAATATGCCCATATAAAATCTCACTCATATTTAACAAACATTCAGGTTTGATAGACAAACTGCCCATTAATCTGTTAAACTGAAGTTTTATCTTTCTAGCCTATGTATCTAGTCTCTATTGGTTTCTGTAGCAAAGATCAGGGTCTCACCATGCCATATCCCATTGCTATACATGCCCCTAATCTCTCTAGTTACAGATTAGGGACTCTATAATTCCTATCAGTATATCTGGGTTAGAATAGAAACAATTGAAAATATCATTATTGAGGGATTATAGGGAGACATATACGCTTCAGTCTCTCTTTATGAACTAAATAAGTGGGTCAAAGTTCAGGATGTGGTATTGATATTCGTAATTTCTTTAAAATATTGTTAGACTGTTTTTTCCTATCAAAAGGCATTAAAAGCTACTGCTTCTGATAATTTTAATGAAATCTCACAAAATCTAGACTCTTGTATAGATACAGGTTAATATATTTATATAAGCATACTTTATCAGTGATACTGCAGAACAGAAAATCAGGAATTATTTATGCCAGAGCTGGAGGTCCTTTTTTCACAAAGTAATTTGCCAAGCCAAGTCTTTATAGAAAGGGAGAATAAAAAATCTCTGCTGCCTGCATAATAAAACTTAATAAAAAGTTATTACACAAGGGGAAAACTGTAAACTCTAACTTGGATGTTGTCTGCCACCCAAGGAAATTAACTCAGTCGAAAAAGAGATCAAGGGTTTTATCTTCATATGAAGAGCAATTCCTTAACAGCAGTGCCAAGCTTGTTGCAACAGACTTTGAGTATAGACATCTGGCCTGGCTATCTTTCTCCTGGAATTCAATAGCAACTGATTTGTTCCTTTGCAGTAATGATGCTCTCTATACTTTCTTTCACGGTATCCTGATGCTGCTCAGTTTATTTCCTGTCCCTTATAGACATTTAGAATTTTTAATTTTGTGGAAATTGACACATGCTTATAGCTATTCTCCATCCCGCTTATCTCTACTCCTGCTTTAAGCTCTGCTACATCTTTTAAGACACTGGCTTAGCTCTATATAGCTCCTGACTACTTTGCTTATTTGAATCAGTGGGATGGCTTGAAGGCCTTATGCCATTCCTTGCTTCACACATTCACACTTTCGCATGTCTTACAATTTGTGTTCTGTGCTTTTCATCAAATAACACAAAAGATGACATGTGTATTTAGAATTAGTTAAAATCTCTCCTTCCTTCAGAGGGCTGGGCTCCAAAAATATTTGAAGTATTAATAAAAAATAAATGACTGTACCATTAAAAAAAGATGTTTATCCACAACACTGTTCATACTAATCAAATGTATTATTATTTATGGTTAGTGTGCACACACCAAAACATATTGCCCCACTACTTATTTGTATGAAAGTCCACAGAAGCCACAAACATGAATTATGCAGTTGCTTGTAAATAAACTCCATAAGGTTTAAATACTATAGCAGATGTAAGTAGCTGCAGGAGGTATGCCCACAGATATCTCCCTTGGTGCCCTCCAGACTACACTTTAATTTTGTTGCTGATTTAAATAAATACATAAAAAGCTGGCATACTGAAAGTAAGTACCTCCTCGAACAGTATCTGTGTTTCAAATATGCCTCTAACTTTCAAATTGGATTCAGAGACATTGTTTAATAATAAAAATGGTTTGTATTTTTTTCCTGAGTTTTGAATTTACACATTTAGAATTTAAATATTTCTTTGTAAATGAAATGTCTTGTATTCAAAACATATTCCACATATCTAAGGAATGTACATGTTTCTCTCTCTCTCTCTCTTAGGCCTTTATTATTCATATTAGTAAGGCACTATTGCCTAATAAATAAATATAGTTCATCAGAATTTATTTTAAAAAATATTTTTACACTTTATTAAAATACTTGCATCAATTTTCAATTGCAATATTTCTAAAGAGTTCCATAAGAATCTCTCTCTCTTTTTGCAATAGAGAAGCATTATGTAGCATTTTCATTAAAAAAAAGTTTTTACCCACACCGATAAACAGTGAGATTTATTTCCCATATATATTTACCTTAAACTATTCAGAAAATATTAAATGTTATCTACCTTAAACTATTCAGAAAATGTTAAATGTTATCTAATGGGCCAAAGTGACAGAAAATATTTTAAAAGTAGAAAAATTCACATTATTATTCTAAATAATTTACATTTTTCACAAAATCAACTTCTTCAGCAAATTCACACATACTGTGAACACTAACCTTGGCTTTTGTTTCTTTCCTCTACTCTCAGATTATTATTATTTTACATATTTTCTGATTTATTATATATTTTGTTTTAGAGGTTGTATGCTACCTAGTATTTTACAGTGAGGCATTAAATAAAAGAAAAACATTATTCTTGCCTTATATATGAATGTGAAATAAAATTTGCATATTTTGAACCTGTAAATCCTAATATAACTGGCATCGATGCTCTCATTACACTGCTTCATCTCTCCCATTAATTACAATGCTTTCTAGGGTGCACAGAAGAAACTCTACAGTTTAATTGGACAAATTCAATCTCTCTCTCTTTTAGCAAAAGATGTACTATTTGTTTTGCATCAATAGTCCTGACCTACCTCAGCTATTCTCACACAGTTTAGACAATAATTCTTCTAGCCTGTTTTTAATATTTGGTGCTATTATATTAATCAGCTATTGGTGAAAATATAAAAATAAAGTCATCTCAAGGTTTCTTCTTATTCTTGGTAGGAGACAGCATATTTCCAAACAGTATAATTTAATGTTGTTTTCCAAAAAGTTATGCCTAATGAGAGATTTCGATACCAGATGAAAAAGACAGAGAATGTCTACACATGAAATGCATCCAATGGAGACAGGTGCTTAGGACCTTCAAGTCCTGAGAATCAAGACAGACAAAAGTTTTCACTGGAAGGACTTCCTCCTGTATTTCTGCTGAATGGAAGTAAAACATATCTTATGCATTTATTCATAATTAATTCCTAGTTTTGTAGTAACATAAAGAATAATTATCTGTTGGTCAATGTTGCATAAAGTCAAACATTTATCTTTTAAAAATATAGGCTTATTCTCAATATGTATTGCTTTAAGTGATTAATCAATTCCTCTGTGAGGGACATGGGCAGCAGATAAAAAAATACTGTAAATATTTTCTAGCAAAATTTAAAACCTAATAACTATCACCAATTAATTTGATAACTAGTAATTCACTTACCACTTTCAAAGCAGGCATCAAATACAAGATGACCTTTTTTTGCCTGTCCATAGTAACCTGGTGGAAAAGCAGTGTATTTGCTTAAGTTTCCTGTAATGATTTCATCTATTTCAATGTCGCTACCTGTTGGAATAACATAAGGAAGCCAATTAGATATAATTAGAAACTCAACCCCCCAAAATGAAGTGGTTCTCTTTATTAAGGATTTGCAAAGGTGACAAACTTTAATGTTTATTTACTTATTTCAGCAGTGGACAACTATGGCCCTTTAAAACTTGTGGACTTCAACTCCCAGAATTCCTGAACCAGCATGGTTGGCGCAGGAATTCTGGGAGTTAAAGTCTACAGGTCACAAAGGGATCATACTTACTTACATATTTATATTTCATATTTCTAGGCTGCCTATCACCCAAGATATTCTGGGTGGTAGGCTACACAGTATTGACATATAAAACAGTTTATAAAATTAAAGTGTAAAAATTAATTTACAGTTACATTTTTTAAAAATTTAAAATTCCAAAAAGACTAGAAAACTTCCAATAAGGCAATTTAACCCTATTAAAATTGGTTGAGGGATGAAGAGGGAAGCTCTCATGATACCAGCCAGCCCCCCACAACTACATTGTCTTTTGGACCTCCCAGGCAAGGCCTTCTTTTCAAGAAGCTTATTTGAAAATTACTCCTAATAAGATATTTTAAAGCATTAATTTTATTTATGTGTATTCTGCCTTTATTATTTTTACAAATAACTCAAGATGGCAAATATACCCACCTTCTTCCTATTTTCCATACAACAACAACCCTGTGAGGTAAGTTGGACTGAGAAAGAGTAATTTGTCCAAGGTAGCTAGCTGACTATCATAGCCATGGCAGGACTACAACTCAGAGTCTCCCAAATTCTAGGTTGGTGTTTGAGAATGAGCCTAAGTGCTGTATACCTAAGCAAATTGTAGTTACTCATTGACATCCTATTAAATTAAATTTAGCTTGTTTATTTGTTTTTAATATACTGTTAATATCAACTTCAGATTCTCTAAAGATTTACATTTCATTGAAATTAATGACATCTAAATGAAGAAATTAGATATGCAATTCTACTTATTCCTATCCATTGGTAATTCCATTGGGCTTGTTTTGTATTTGATAAAAAAGACATGGTGTTATTAGTTGAATCATATACTTAAAACCACAGTTTGTTTAACATGAATATAATTATTTTTTAATTATTATTGTTTAATTATATAACAGTCTTCTGTTGAGGGATCTCAGAACAGTGTACAATGTACAAAATATATGAAAGAACCAGTTTGGTCTAGTGGTTAAGGAACCAGGCTATAAAATGGGAGAATGTGGGTTCAAGTTTTGTTTTAGTCATGAAAGCCAGCTGAGTGACTTTGGGCCAGTCACTCTCTCTCAGCCCAACCTCCCAGCTCACAAGATTTTTGTCGTTGTAGGGAAAATAGGAGGAAGTGTATTTAAATATGTTCACTGCCTTGACTTGCTTATAAAAATAATAAAGGGGAGATACGAATAAATAAAATAAAAAATAAATTAATAAAAACAGTTTGATAAAAGTATATGATAGTCAACAATTCTGTAAACAAAACAGAATTAAGCTAAAAAGCCGCATAAAAGGCAAAATAATCCCACAATGATTACTTCCAGAAATTTACCAGATGTGTCGAAATTCACTGTTAAATTGGATGTACTTAGAATTCTAAATTGTAAATAAATTCAAAATAAATAGTTCAATAAATATTCCTTCACTTGATATTTAAATTAAGACTGGGCTGGGAACCAATTGTATTTACTCTGTGAAGCAGTTCCATAATTCAGGCAGCATTTTACTCCTAGATAATGCTCATAAAGCACATCCACCAAAGAGCTTCCAGAGCTACCTTAGCACTTGGGATGATTGTTGAAGAAAGCAATCTTCTCAATACCAATGTGCAGGGACTGAAATAGAGGCCTAGGGCCTCCAGCAGCCTCAGCTAGACCCATTGCTCCTGCCATTCTCCAAATTGCACGTGCAGTTCTCACAATGATTCAGAAGACCTCAGAAAAGCGCATTGCAAGAATAATGGGAACTATCTGAAGAATAGTGCACACTATTTACAGAATGGTGTGAGTGGCCTTGGGAAGAAGGCTGAGGCAAGGCAACCAGCAGCTGCCTCACATAGGCCAAGGCCAGGTGCACCCCAGCAGCAGCAGAAGATGGCAAAGGTCTCACTGGTGATGGTAGGGTCAGCGACCACAAAGCAGTAACGGCAGCGGGGTGAACAGAGCACAGGGTGGCAAGGGCAGCAGAGCAAGCAGGGAGCACAGGGTGGGAAGACCAGCTGGCTAGCAGGGTGGGCAGAGTGCAGGACCAAAGTGGCAGATATGGAGTGGAGATAGGCAGGTGAGGGAAACTGAAAAGGAAGCCATCTCTTATCTAATTAAGGCTTGGAGTTGGAAGCACCAAGCTGGTAATAGCTTGGATCCAAATGGGCCCTTACCAAATGACTGGTGTCATTCAAATAGCAATGGCACAGGGAGTTCCAAGATTGCCATCATTAAACAATTATGTTACTCAATATTGTGCTTTATAACATCACTTAGCAATGGAAATTCTGATGCCTATTACTAGTGTAACTCAAGGACTACCTGTACAGTTCTTTTGAAAAGGATCCTTTAAATCCTTTAAAGGGGGCATGCATAAGTGCACCAACATGCCTACCATCCCTGTCCTGTTGTTTCTTTTTTATTTTTCTTATATATATCCATTTCAGGTATCCATAACTATGTTTATACTTATACCTGTTATCTTACAATTGCTTGACAAAATAAATAAATAAAATAAATATGCTTATTAAAAACAGTTGATGAATTCACATTTCGAATTAAATTGATAATGTTTAACTGTTTAGAAATAAATTTAGCATTGTATAATTTCCAACATTTAATAAATATATAATAAGGATTACCATAACACTTAATGTATATTTTATATTGAAAATGTTTCACACCAATTGTTTAAAATTAATATTGCTCATAAATGATAAAAATGCCTTATTAGTTAAAACTGACTTCTATGAAATAAAAGATTTATATATAACTTGAAGCAAATTATCTTAGTAAAAATAGTAAATTATAATAATTTACTAGTGATGCAGAGCAAATTGAGAGGAATAAAAGCAGTGCTATGTCATTGTTTCTGCTAAAAGACCAGCTGCTTTTGGCTCTTTCTCAATCTGAACTGTTTCTCCCAGCTGGTTATTATGTAAACTGTAATTTTACAGAACAGGGAACTGAACCCCCCCACCCAATTACCATTCTCTTTCCTTGTGAGATATACTGTATTTCAGAACCCAGAAACTATCACTTCACTCATTTTTAAGGTCCTTTCGGAACCATTTTTTGTTAAAGATTGAGCTACATACACAGAAAATAAGTAGTGTCATGAAGACTTTCATTGGAAATCCAGATCCTACACAACCTAATATATCCTATAATTATTATATTAACACTTGAATTGGGATCTTACAATGTGCTTTTGTATGAATTTAAGCACCCCACTCCATTACATGAACTTACAAAGTTGCCTTTGTAAGGGCCATATTACAGATCATTTAATAACACTAGTCTAATTCTTAATTAGCAATGTAGAGCCAATGGGCGCTCCTATAATCCCACCTGCCTAAAGCTCATTAAGATTCTCTCTGGCTTCCTGATTTTACTTTTTTAAAATTTAAAATTATTTTGGATAATTTGCAAGCAGTAAAGCTCCAAATCCAACTCCTCTCCTCTACCCAGTGTATCTCCAGGACTCATACGAATCCAGAATATACCTCAGACAGGGAAGAAGAGCAAGAGAATAAAGACCAGAAAGGCAAGTTTAGTTTCCAGCCACTTTACCAAAACCTCTGAAAAGAAAAAAAGAAAAGGAATGGCTTGGAAATCTTAGATATGGGCATTAAGGATGTACTACACCATCATATCTGAAACTGGTGGTACTATTAGAATAACTATAAGACATTATCTCTTAAACCTATTTCTTCCAGATAATTGACAGGAATGTCTAAGTCAGTGGTTTTAAATTCCAGCTTCTGATTTCTGCACCTCATTAGCTGGTATCTAACAACAGACAATAGAAAGAACATTCTTCCTTTCTCTCAACCAGAATGAAGTATTGCAAAAAATACCTAGTTGGAAAATACATGTTTTCCTTTCACTCTCGCAGTTTTGAAGAGAATGTTAAAGGCAGGAGAGGAAATGCTACTTTGCAGTTAGAAGCCTTCCTCATAGCAATTGCTCAGATTTTGTTTACAGAAGACCAGACAAAATCTACAATGTGATACAATGTGATATTTTCTTTCCCTTTTTATGTGCATGGAGACTGAGGGATTTTAACTCTCTTTTGGTCAACTGGAAATGAGCACTGATTAGCTCATGTTGTTCTTTTTTTCAGTGTTTCTTTTCAGTGTTTTAAGGTGAGCCAAAAATGAAGTTAAATACAGGTAAGCATCATACAGTACTGCTTGATGAAGAACTGGAAAGAAGAAACAATAGTATGGTCTGTAATGACAAAAATGGAGGTGGAACAACATTGTCAGAATAGAACAATAATTCCTGGAAGTGAAATGATAAAAGTAGTAATCAGATAATGGCCAAATGGTAAAAGGATGCTGAAATGAGGTTTAGAGCCCCTGACTATAGTTATCTTAAGAGGCTGTGTGTAGAAATGTCAGCATCAGCCTGAAAATTACCGTTTTAGACCAGGCTGAACTTTGGAAATAAAATGTTGCACCTAAAAATTCAGATATCTTTCTATGTTCACCAAATACAAGAAACTACATTAAAATAAGACTAATATTGATATTCATAAATATTTCATATATCAGATTTAATTAGCACAAAGTAAAACTATTTAATTATAAAAACTTTTTCTCATCTTTTTTCTTTCCAGAAAGAAAAGAATTGCTGCAGGATCTTGATTAACAGTAATTAAGAACTTTGTCTTAAAGTATGGAAGGCCTCAAATTGTCTATGATTCCAACCTCAAGGTAATCAACCTCCTCACATTAACCCCAAATTTCTCTGACCTTTTCCAATCCCTTGGGGTCTGACATGACTACTGTCATTCCCCCGCACCTTTCAATACTGCTTAGATTAGGTTATGTTTTTCATTCAGACATCTAAGCCTCTTTTTTATGAATATATTCAGGGGACATTTTCATTTTAAACCTCATGCCCTGTTTCATTCCCCTTCACTCTTCAGATACCATTCCTTGTTTTTTTAAAAAATCTGTAGTTTTTCCATGGTCCTTAAAAAGCTCCCTGACTTCCAAAAAACATTTCTTTTGTGAGAGGCTTTATATACATACACTAATATACCTGGAAGTATAAAGATCTCCTCCACCCCCAAGCTAAAGAGGCCTGTGCTTCCTTTATCCTGTAAGTAGATCCCTTGTCCTAGACCTGCAAGTCCAGCAAAGGGACTGCTGTATTTATGTCCGAAAATATACAGTAACGTTTGTTTGCTTACAGCAGCACTCTTTGCACAGAATATGAGGTCATTCCTTCCCAAAACGCTCAAGAGCTGAACTGACTTTCTGCTACCTATTCTGAAAGTCGTTCCTTCTCCTCCCTCCCCCATTAATGTTAATTCCCTTTCTCCGCAAAGACCCCCAGCCAATTTCCCCAAATCTCGCCCCCTCCTCTCGAGAACTACAGCAATTACTAACCCGTTTCTGCTGTCCTGCTCTCCGCCATGTTTGTTTTCATCGCTATTTTCTCTCCCCCCCCCGCACTAGACGCTGCTGGAACGTCACCATGGCAACGTACGTCACAACACGGGAAGTTCCTTATTCCCTCTACTACTGCCTGCGAATGGTTTGTACCGGGATTAAAAGTGTTAAGAATTGGGAAGAATAAAATACTGACATAAACGCATTAAACCGTGCCAGTCCATGTAGATGGATAACTGGCATTTGACTAGCAAGTAAAATCAATGAACTTCAACGAGGCTGTACCCGGAAGAGGACCTCGATCAATTAAGTGATCATCATGCCTAAGTAAAAACGGAGGGAGGGGAGGAGAGATTTTTCAGTAAAAGTTAATGCTATGAGAAAGAACAACCTGGACCTAAAGAATGTATAAATATATAAAATTGAAAATATATGCAGAAAGGTTTTGTAGTCTTAGCTATGCCTTCATGAAATAAATAACAAAGGCAAAAGCATAAGCCTCATCTTTTATTTAGATGGCTAAATGAAGGGATGATTCACACCTTACAAAATTGTTCCATTTTTATTTCTCTACTTTTCTTCAGAATGGCTTATTTCCTCCTCTTGGGATGGGGACTAGAGGAGGAGTGAGAGGTATTGGCTGCTTTTCCCAATGTGAGTGTGTGCATGTGTACATATACATAAGTTTTGTCTCTGTATGGTTTAAGATATATAACATGGCTAGTTTCTAGTAATTGTAAGGTGGCTGGTTGGTTTCTGACTTGATTTTTGGTCACTTTAAACATATAAAATTATATATTGCAATGTCCTACCTGTCAATGAATACTTCAGCTTCAACCATAACAATACAAGAGCACACAATAGATACAAACTCAAGGTAAACTGCACCAAACTTGATTGCAGGAAATAGGACTTCAGCAACAGAGTGGTCAATGTCTGGAATACTCTACCTGACTGTGGTTTTTTTCCCCAAACCCCCAAAACTTTAACCTTAGTCTGTTTACTATTGACCTCATCCCTTTCCTAAGAGGTCTGTAGGGGGTGTGCATAAGTGCACCAACGTGCCTACTGTCCCTGTCCTATTGTTTCTTTTTTTTTTTCTTATATGTATCCATTTCATGTACTCAAAACTATGTCTATAGTTATACCTGTAATCTTATAAATCGCTTGACAAAATAAATAAAACAAAATAAAACAAATATTTGGTTCCTGAATGGCTTTTTCAAATTCACTTAATACTTTTTGTGCTGCAGATGGGGGAGGGAGGAAGCCTGGGGAAAGAATTTGATTTAAATAGGCATTTCTTAACCTCAGCAACTTTAAGATGTATGGACTTCAAGTCCCAGAATTTCTTAGCCAGCTTGGGTGGAATGCTGGGAGTTGAAGTCCTCACATATTAAAATTGCTGGGGTTGAGAAACACCCTTGTAGGGAAAGACCTTTGGCCTTCATCACTTCCTCCATTTCTCGTACAGATTTCTGAAGTGCTGCCATATTCTTTGGGGAAGGTGGATTGTTAGGTAAGTAAGTAATTCTTGTGGTAGGATTGCATACTTAGATTAACCAGTACATTTTTTCACAATTCCTCTGGAACTTAATTTCTACTTGTAGCCATCTTCTGTTCAAGATATTTTTTGAGTTCATTTGTTATACAACAGATATACACAAGGAGGAAGTAAACTGCAGTTATCCATAATGCCAAGAAAATAATTTGACATCCTCTAGAAAATATACTGTATAGAACTTCATGCAGTGGACAATAAAAAGGCACATTAATGTGCTGTTGCAATTATAAATGTCATTGTGAATCATTCCACCACCACCATCCCTTTCAGGACAACTAGCTGCTGAGCTGGAATCAGTATGTGAAGCAGTAAAACTGCTTCTTCTAGCTCACTAGAGCACTAGAAAGAGTGAGTTCTCCAGACATCCTCAATTGGGAATAAAGGACACCATTTTCTTTTCCATTGCCTCTCCAAATGTCATAGCTTTTAATGATGGTGTCCTATGCACTTGGGCAATAGGGCACAAGGGACAAGATATTAGTACTAGCAATGATGGTAGGTGCCTCTGGTAGCATCCCCATAGGTACACTTTGATTTAATAGTCTTTTAAGTAATCTTGTGGAATCGCTTTTACCCTCATGTGGAGAGTCAGAAGACCATCTTGAAAAGTGGGAATTGCAAGGTAAGTGTGTGTCAGTTTCTATGTTCAACATACCTTCCCTCTGAATCCCCAAGTCTCAGGGAAGGAGCGCTATCAGAAAAACCCATAGGAACCAAGAATTGACCATGTGTTTTCTTTTTGTTTGTTTTTTTGGGGGTGTGGGGTGTTGCAACTCAGCCTGGCTTACCACTGCAACAATTACTAAATAATTATTACTGGTTGACATGAGAGGGCAAGATGTGGCTGAGAGGATGCACCCTTATGTCTTATCTTCAGAATCTAAAGTCTTATACAGATAGGCAGAAAAAAGAGGTGAATGGAGTAGTTTCATAGTACAGGCCTTGACTCTCCTTGTCTGCTTTGCTTTTCAACAGGGCAGTATATGTATCAAATTCTTTCAAGATACATGCATGAATCTTCTAATTTCCTGGTACCAAAATTTATAATGGTGTGGGCACTATGTTGCTCCAACTGGCAAGCAGTTGATCCAACTGGGAATTCATTGTGAAATACCAGTCATAAAGGATTTTAGGTCTTTACCATCATCCATTACATTCTTTCTATGCATTTATTGTTCTATTTATACAATGAGCGTGGGGTAGTGACCTAAATAACTGCCTCTCCAAATATGGACATTCAATTATTATTATTATTTTGCAAAAGGAAAACCAGCAAGACAAGAAATAAGCATGCAGACTTATCTTGAAGCGAGTAGCACCAGACTGCCTACTCATCCATGAAATCAGAAGACCAGCTCCTGCGGGTCCACCCAGCAGTAACTGATCCCCATGAAAACAGTGACACTGAACTGTGTTGCCCTTCCATCAAACATAATCTTCACCAAGGATCAAAGACAGGACTTGTTGGAAGATTCCTTTGTACTCTGTAGCTAATATGATTTGTGGTTGGGTACAACTGGCACATAGGCCTTTCACCTGTTGTCCTCAGGACAGTACATGTTATGGCTCACTAATGCCAGGGTCAGCCCTACAAAGTAGGCCAGGTCAAGAAACCAGGGCAAAATACCATGTGTCTTGTTGACAGCTATGTGCAGGTTGCTAAAAACCATGGGTATGATGCCTATCCTGATGCCTATCCTGACTAACACTGTCTAATGCAGGACTTATGACTTGACACTTTGTGGGAGCAATCACACCTTTGAGAATTTCGGGGGTCTCTTTGAATTCTAAGCTGATCTACAGGTAGTCCTCAATTTGTGACCACAATTGAGCCCAAAATTTCTGTTGCTAGGTGAAACAATATAGAGAATTTTGCCCCATTTTATGACCTTTCTTGCCACCATTAAGTGAATCATTGCAGTTATTAAGTTAGTAATACAGTTAAGTGCATCTGGCTTCCCCACTGACTTTGCTTATAAGAAAGTCGCAAAAGGTAATCACATGACCCAGGACACTGCAACTCATCATAAATATGAGTCAATTGCCAAGTATCTGAGTTTTGATCATGTGATCATGGGGATGTTACAATGGCCATAAGAGTGAAAACTGGTCACAAGTCACTTTTTTCAGTGCCGTTGTAATTTCAAATGGTCACTAAATGAACTGTTGTAAACTGAGGAAGAGCACTTGCCAAAAGCATTGGGCAATATGATACTGTTGATGTGACCTGAACTAAGCAAACATCATACATAAAAAGAGATATTCCTCCAAGAAAAGGATAAGGAGGACTTAAATATGGGATTATCCAATTGATGAGCAGCATGAGCAAGACCCCAGCACAATAGTAGCTGGTGAGGTGCATAATTTCCCTATTCTCTGCTATAATTCCTGCTGCTATAGTTTGTCATGCACTGCTGGCAGCAGAGCACAACTGACATCAGGAGGGTCAAGAAGTAACTCATAGGTGCGTTGTGTGCAAATACATTAATAATGTAACCCTTTAAGCCCTCCACATCCTGAGCTCTGCCCACATGATTCATCATTATTGAGGACTCTGCTATCAAGCGGCACTGCAGTACTACCCAGGTGAAATTGTGACAGTCATGACAGCTTGAACCAGATATAATTTTTTTAGTACTCCTGAACTCAGCCACCTTTGCTACAAAGGTTTGAGGTGGTGAAGGCCAATAAGAAACTACAATGAGATGACTGCAAAGTGTGCTTTCTGTTGTGCCGAGGTTGTCTGATGACTTTATGATTAAGGACTCAGCTGATGTTGCCCCCAGCCCTGGGACATGAAGGGCAGGAGCAGAGACTATGTTGAAGGAGTGGTGTGATAGGATCATGGGCTCCTTTTTTCTTTGATATGAGAATGTGACCTTGGATTCTTTGGAGTCCTGCTTTTTTTGTAAGTAGTGGCTGATCAAAAAAAGAGAAAGTGAGGGAGGAGCAGTATAGCCTTGTGGCAAAGAGGTAGGCAATTGGATACAAGTAGGTGCTGCAATAAAGATGCTAATGTGCTATCTAGCGCCCAAAGAATACAAAAGCGAGTGGAAGGATTGAAAATGTACCGTACAGATGCACAAATGAAGTTAAATATACATGTCCCAGGATCCAGTCTGGGTCACTGACCAGGACTAGTTTACAAGTCTAGTAAGAGAGAAGTGGGGATGGGCTCCAGCATAAATCCAAAAGTTTAGTCGGAAGGCTAAACCTCTCATCCCAGTGACCAACCCAGATTGGATCCTGTATATATACAGGACATTTTTATACTGGGTAATATGATTTACTGACACTTTGAATTTTGAAACAGAAAAGAGGATTAACACAAAGAGATTAAATAGGCCCTTGAATAAAGAGATTAAAGTATATGTGTGGTTTTAAGTGCCTGAAATCTACCAACAGTAAACTTACCTAATGAGGTTATGAGAACTGAGACAGAATCTAGCTTCCTTGGTTGTGAGTTTTGTGAA